CAGGGACCCATATCTAGGGTGTCTGCATCAACATTAATGGTGTCAATATGGAGGTGTTTGATAGTGCACTTGAGCTGTTGATGAAAGTACAATCATCAGTCATGTCACTTGTACATCTAGAATACTTACTGAAGCTGTGCAAATGCCAATAATGCCAGTCATCCTGATAACAGACATCACATGTGTTTTGAGCATGGGAACTTCAACATGCCTGAGAATGCTGTGAAGATGAGCGGTTGCCAAGAGCTGCAACATGAATGGAGACAAGAAGGCTTGGATTGGGTCTAGGTTTTCCATGTCCTTGTAAATGAAAGTAAAGTCCTTCAGAAGTGTGCTGGCAACCTTTACTGAATCAATGTCTGTTATGCAAAACCTCTCGGATGAGATCCGGTGGTGCTAAACCCGCAAGGGGTGTTCGAAGTGTGGCCTTCAGCGCTAGCCCAGCAAGGAGCTTGCCTGCGCTAAGTCTGAGTAAGGGTTGCAGCCCTTATTTATGTAGAGTCAATTGGAGTTTCTCGAGGATACAATCCAAGAGACAGAGTTCAACTCAAGAGTATCATCTCAAGAGAAGGTGGTTCTGTGTACAGAGGGAGTTCTCTTAGACAAGAGAAGTTCAGACCCAACGACAAGTATCAGATGAGAACCGAGTAGATTCAAGTTAGAGAATCTATCTACAAGAGAAGTGATATATATATATATGTAAAGTGAGATACCAGTGGAACGGTAAGGGTATAGGGTAATGGAGGTATTACCGAGGTATCGGTAAGGGTCAAGGGTATGTGTGAGTCACATACTGGAAAGGGTAAGTAGTACTGGTTGAACGGTAAGGGCAAAGGGTATGGGGAATCCCCATCAATGGGGGAACCAATACAGTGGTTAGGGCATAGGGTTCGGGAGAAGCTGTGGCTTCTGTGATCTAGAGGTAGAAGCGAGAACTTCTCACGTTTCAGAACAACGGGATCAAAAAGAAAGAGACAAGAATAGAATCATAACCATGGTCCAGGTCTGGACGAGTCCAAAGAATGAAATGACGCGTTGTGAGGAATTCCCCCACTGTAGGTGTAAAACCCTGTCCTTTCCGCATCATCTCACATCAGTTCCATGTATTCCGCACGTTCCGTGTTTCCCGTGCATCGTCCGATGGGTTCTGCATTCCCGCACATCCTTCGGAACCTGCCCGCACTATCCAATATTCCTGCACATCGTCAGACAACCTTCACATGTCCTGTCCCCATCCTTCCAGGTCCATTGGTATGCTGTATCTCACTTCCCATTGCTTCTAACATTATCCAGATCACACTGACACATGCCCTTATGGCATGGACCCCTATTGCGGAGTATTGCACCCATGTGCACTGCCTGCCTTCACTTCCGCTTCCTGAGAAACTTACTACCTGTACCTCAGTGTTCCTTAAAAATAATCTTCCCTTTAAGTAGTGGTACTCAGGGCTTGGGTGTTTTTTTTATCAAATCCCATCTTTTACCTTCCCACTTTTTCTTCACCTTACTAGAGGACCACTTTGAATTATGCCCACTATCAATCTAACCTTGTGATATACTTCCTTTGACTTGATCTGCAAGTTCCGACGACTCCGTATGTTCCGCATTGTATCCAGTTGAGTTCCGCTTCATTCCATTCCATTCCGCTTGGGTTCCGCTTGTTCCACTTGAGTTCCGCTAGTTCCGCTTATTCCGCATTTTTGCGGATCCTCATCTTACCTGCGGTAGGGTTGATTAGGGTCATTTAGACAGAGACTAGTACTCCCCAGTAGCAATCCCCTTTAGGGTCGAACGTGCTTGTTCTCAAGTGAGGCAGCAGGCAGCAAAGACCCAACTGTGTAGTAGTCTCCTCTTTGGTTTTCACCTTCTCTGCAGGTGGCTGCACCTGTGTGGCAGCTGACTGGGAGATTGTTAGGTACCATGCTTGGATGGAGAAGTGAAGGGGTCAGGGCTTGGCTTCAGCTCTTGTGCTGTGCCCTTAGCCAAGTATGTGCACTGAATTTGGAGTGGGACCGACACTGTCTGACCATAGGACAAGTGGATCGTTTTGGACTGCTTTGAGGGTTGGGAGGTAAAGTACTTACTAGTGACAGACCGACTAGGAGCAGAGCAGATAGAGTGGGGGAAGGAAGTCGCAGCAGAGGGGACAAGGGGATTGGTGTTATGATGCAGAGGGAAGTAAGGGAGATTAACTTAGAGCATGGCTCTAAGTTGAAGCGGAGGAGCGGAAGGAGATGACAAAGTGAGACTTGTGTCTGGAGTGAGCAAAGTCCTACAGAGAATTCCCATCAGTAGAAACTGAGGGAAGACAAGTAATATTAAGACTAAGGAAACTAGCTATGTACATAATATGTTTATATACTTCTATGTGAGGAGGCAGTGATCAGTAGTCCATAGCATAAGGCTATGTGCTGAGTATACAATTGGTAAGTATTACTACAGAGAAAACATAAGTCAGAGCAGATATCAATATGCATGTGATGGATCAGTAATTGAGCGATTATAGGAATTGCCAGTGATCTGGGAAGTAAGTGTTATGTACTGAAGGGGAAAGTATATACCTAAATGAGGAAAGAGGTTCTAGTTGAATGGAACTTATACAGAAGGTGACTGATGAGGCAGTTGAGTGGAGGTGCAGGAGCAGATATGGAGGCTAACTGGATTGAGCGGAGACATGTGGAGTGGATAAGAGGAAAAGGTGGAAGGGGTATAGGGTCAGGTGGAGCGGATATCAATATGTTGGAGCAGTCAGATCTGGTATATGACAGAGACAACAATGACAGTCTGTCCAGAGAATATAAGTTGCAATAATCATTAATAAAATAAACTTACCAAAGATGTTGAATGTATGGCCTTCTTCACTGTGTTGACTGTTGCAACAGAGCCTGTAGGCACATTAAGAACATCAATGTTATCATCCTTGTCCTTGTATGGGGTACCCTCCAAGACGAGGGTGGAGGATTTGGTGTCTGCAAGCTTGTATTTCTTACTCCAATGGAATGAGACTCCATTGCTCAGGCTGCTGTCACTGTCCTCAGACATCTTGGTATCTTCATCCTCACACAATTTGTCCTTCAGGTTCATCTGTGCATTTATCTCAGTCTCCTGTGAGTCTCCTGTTGAACATAGCACATCCTTGGTCATTGCACTGGAGGTAATCTATATGGTTTGCTTTTTGCATTAGAATTAGAATGTATTTACAAACCATTTAGTATGCACCTTAACTGAAGACTTCTTCCCCTTCATCTTTGGGATGAATGTATCCAGACATTCCTGGGAATCATCCAAAGTTTCATCATCAAAGCTGCCAACAAGAGCATTGAGAATATCAGGTGCATTAGCTGGAGTGGGGGAGACTTTGGGTTTAGAGGACTTGGTAGTTACACCTGATACTGATGTGGCATGGAAACTGGATAAAGTGCTGCTTGGTGGTCCATGCACCAATGACAAAGTTGAGGCAGTGGTATGAGATTTGGAAGTGCTTGAAGCTTTGGGTAGTTTGGCTGTATCTGGTGAAACATCAGAAACCCAGCCATTAATGCACTCTGCCAATGATAACTTGGGGTTGTTCCTGAATTTTGAGGTCAAGTTGAGAAAAAAAGAGTTGATTTAGTGAGCATAAAAATCATGGTTTTTGATTGAAAAGAAAAGATGCACAATGCAGTAAGGTAGGCCTCATGCGAATGTATACAATGTCACATGACCAAGCATGATTTTTCATGACATTTGAGCTTTTATTCAACAACAAACTTACAACTAAGTAAATTAAGAAACAGCTACATAAAAAATCTGAAAGAGTTATTTGAAAGTTTTTTAGTTTTCCCATTTGACTGTCCAAGCAAAATTGATTTAGTTCTAGAATTTGTGGGACCAGCACTCTGATAGCAAGAGAATACAAACAGCAGTCGGCATTTGGCACCTCTACTAGCCATTGACATGACATGATGTGAGTCAACAAAACAGACCTTCAAGTTGCATGCCATCCAAAAATGCAAAGTGACTGAAATTCCACTGTGAGCTGAATTTCATTGAGATGTGCTGGGGTTATGCAAAGAGGATATACAGGCAGTATGTATTGTCATCAAAGGAGGATGACCTCAAATGAAACATGCTTTCTGCACTTGATTCAATCCCTTTGCTGGCAATGCAAAAGTGAGTTGTTCATTTTCAGTCACTATCTGCAGGCTAAATTGAAAATTTCAGGTTTGCAATCTGATCTTGATGTTTTATTGATGCTTATAACAAATAGTGCTGCCGAAGTTCGGTTCCGTCTGGTTTTTTCAAAATAACTGAGGACCGAGAACCAAACCTCGGTCAAGTTCACAAAGGTAAGGTGGACTCTGGGCCGGACCACTTTGAACGGGTTCACAATGGTCAGGTTCGGGTTCAAACCAGTTCGAACTACCAAACGCAACATAAAATTTTGCAAAAAAATCGCCAAGAAAACTACAAACAATTGTAGGCTAGTATGATTGACTATTCAACAACAACGTTTTGAGGAGCAACGAGCTCAGCCTGCACCATTGTCGAGACATGGCCTTGACGGTATGTACTCTTCAACAGTTGAAGTGCCTCGAATGTCTCTGGAAGCAAGCAGTTACGACACGTGGTCCCAGTGATGCCGCCACTTGAGAATGCCCGTTCAGATGCAACTGCAGACCCCTGAATAGCAAGGTAGTCCTTTGCGATGCGAGCAATAGTAGGATATTGAATAGAGTGATGCTTTGAAGAAATATTTGTCAGCTTGCACGGAATATCAAGGATATGAGGGAAGTGAACTTACACCCCACCACGCTACTACATTCTCGACATCCTCCAGTGGTGCAGCTAGATAATCCTCGAGTTCCTGACGAGGTCTTTGACGAGCTGCGTCATGTGAGACACGAGCTTGGATTGCATCGCGCATCCAGCTATGGCCATACGAGCCTTGGCGTGAGAGAGATGGTACAGCAACAGAATGTGTCGCCATGGCAGATGAAGGAGGGGCACGATAATACTTATCAAACTAGATACTGAGTTAGTGCGAAGACAATTTATTGAGAGACCCATGTACTTACCACATCTTTGAGCCGTTTCACGCCATCAGCAAAGTCTTGAGATGCCCATTTTGCCTTCGCATAGGCAACTTTGTAGTTAGGGTCAAGGGCTGCATGAAAGTAAGAGTCCCATCAAAATGAGAATGTGTGAATTAAGAACGGGTACGTACCAAGGCAGATGAAGTAGACATCTGTGTCATTTGTCTTTCGATACCACTTACGAAGATTGTCGAGGCCAGATTGGATGGATGTCGAAAGGCTGTCGAATTTCGATGTGCCAGCCATGCTTTCCCACGTCTCTTGAAGATATTTGAGAACAGGAATGGTGCACCAGACTGTAGGCTCCCGAGTAGCCGAGAAAGTCTGTTGAGCATTAGCGGGCTCCTGTGCAGTATTGTGCTAGTTAATAGGAAAGGTGAAAAAGACAGTTAAAGGAACTGACCTGCAGCACATCTTGAATCAACTCTAACTTCAACCACTCTTGTTGCGTGAGCTTGAATGCCAAATATGTTTTCCCTTGTAAATTAGGGACTTCTTCGTTGTCATCAGCGAGCTGCGTGGACCTGTTGACTCCCTGTAAATTCAAATCAATTAAATAGAACAAAAAATTTCAAAAGATATGACAAACCTTGCATAAACGGATCACTTGCTCCAACATTTTGAAGAGTGATGCCCAACGTGTTCGAATCCATTTCAGAAGTTTGAGAGCGGGAACATCAACCTCAGTGCAGCACCTCTTAAAGAAAACACGAGCTTGTGGGGATTTTCGTATTTGCGTGACAAGTGACAGGGCTTTACCGACAGTATCGGTGACATCAAAATTGGTCTCGTCATTGTCATCTTCCACTGTCTTCTTGAGTAAAGCACTGGTGGATGTCAGGGCTACCCTCTCAACAAAATGCTTCGCTGCAAGATGCAGTGCATGTTCCATACAACGGACACGATGTTCAACTGGGTCCCAGTCAATACCAGAAGGGTCGATAGCCTCCGCAACAGTTCGAATAGCAGTATCATTGTTCGTAGCGTTGTCAGCTGTGAACCAGCCAACCTATGATCGAAAAATTAGATAAACAGTAACTACAACAACATAAATGCTCACCTTTTTGCATAAATCATACTTATCAATGACTTCGATCAAAATGCCACCAATGTTGGCACCACTGTGATTACCCTCGATGGGCCTAAAGGCAAGTTGCTCCGTCTTGAGCTCCCACTCCTGAGGCTTGTCGGCGGGTGAGTCAATATAATGGGCCGTGACGGAAAGGAACGGGTCGCCAGGTTCCGATGTCCATGAGTCAAATGTCATTGAAATCTTGCTGTCAACGTGCTAAGACAATCATAATGAGTGAAAAGCAGACAATCACAATTATTAACACTTACTGCTAGTTTTTCCTTGACTCGTTCGACGGCGAGCTTTGCTCTCTCAAGAATCTCATCCCGTGTCTTAGTGCAGTGCGGAATATCTTGATCTGAAAGACTTGGCCAAAGGTATTGCAAGAGATGGCGAAATGGTCCTTTGTCAACAAGTTGAAATGCCTGCAATTGCGTGAGGATGTGTGCATGAAACAAATAACAAAAGTTGCAAACCTCATCCTCAGCAACAATGAGCTCGACGATATAGTCAACGAGGCCTGACTTCGAAAACTGAGGTGGCTTTGGGACAAGGGCATGATCAAGAGTTCGTTGCCCTCCGTCAGATACCTTGACATTCATGGGAATAGCACACTCATGCATGATGACGCCTTTCTCCTTGCAGCGAGTCTTGTATATCGGAAAGTGGCAGTTCGGATGGCTGGTCAGATGGTTAGCGTGACTCAAACATGCTTGAGAAAAAATGTACTGAGCAATGTGAGTACGACGGGTGGAAATGCTACCTTTGAAGAAACAATTTTGAAGAGGCAAATTTGCGTCCCTTTGAGACAGAGGGCAAGTAAGTAAAAAGATACTCGGAAAGGGGGAAGAGCAAAATGCACTTGCAAACATTACACCACCATCCATCCTCACTTTCACCAGTATGTATGTTCTTGTGACCTTTTTCCTCGGTAAAAATCATCCGCAGATCTGCCGTCCGCTCATCTTTCTTCAGACCTTTGCGAGCCTGGAGGTTCGACATCAGGATAGTATGAGAGAGTCTGAAAAACACACTTACATCTCGGTCAGCATTTCCAAATGTTTTAATTTGCTGGTAAGCTGCCTCAGCTTCCTTGGCTTCTTCGTCGCCTAAATCTTCAACAAACAACTCATCCTTGTTGGTAGACAAGTCGTCATCGTCGTCGTCATCATTGCCATCATCATCACCAATCGTAGAAGAGCTGGTTGCAGAGACAAGCGGGCGCTTGGTGGCAGGGGGCATGGTGGTAGTACCTGAACATTTGGCAGGAATGGCACTACTCGCTGCTTCTCGCACCTTCGCAGAAGGCTTGATAGGTCGGCTGGAGCGACGAGAACCAGCAACAAGTGTTGTAGGCATTCGGCGAGAGCCCATTTGGCCTACGAAGGAGTCCAGGGTGTGATGAGAGGGGCCAGAGGGCAAAGCCTTAGCAGAGGATTCAAGATGGGGAGAGATGGGCATGTCGTCGTCAGCATCATGATACCATTTGATTTCAGATGCGTCCTTCAAAACACTATTAGCATTAACTGCAGAGTTCGACATGGTTTGATGAATGAGCTAACCTTGGATGCACCCCACCCTTTTATCCTTTGTTGATGTTCTGCGCAAGACCAGAATGAGATATGAATATCCACTCTGATCAATTGCATCGGTGATGGTAGTGCCGGTGATGATTGCGCCGGTGACGATTTCACCAGTAAACTTACTGATGTGTCAACAATGAGCATCTTTCAAACCTGAGGAGTCGCAGAACAGAAGCAACAAACCTGCAACTCCAATGATGGGTTCGGACCGGTTCAGACTCGTCCGAACGGGTCCAACATCCATCCGAGACTGCCCGAACGAAGAACCTAGGTAGGGTTCAGTCCTGTGTTGTATGTCGAACCACTGACCAAACAGTGGTTCCGTTCGCAAAAGTTCAGGTTCGAACCTAGGTTCGGAACTGAATGGCGGCAGCACTAATAACAAAGGACTCACAGGCACATAGGTAGCATGGACTATCAAGAAGTACCATGGTCACTGAGTTCTCCTGGACAGTATAATGCGTGATTTCAATTGTACTCCCCATTCATTGCTTTAACTTTCCTGAAATTTTCAAACTATCATTATAATGCATATCTTTAATCTTACATTGTTGTGTATATACTCTACACCTGCCTTGCTCATAGTAGTGTTCTGTCACTGCTGTTTGTTTGCTCTTGCTGTTTTGGCCAAGTTTTGACAGAGACTTAACTTTGCATATCACAGAAAGTCACACTTATGTGACATTGTATATATTTGCATGAGGCCTACCTTAGAAGACTTTTCTTTCTTGTCATCAGTAATGGCACATGGCCCTGAGTTACTAACTGTCCTGCTCAAGCACTGTTGATTGCATCCTTGAGAGACATCTTGATGCCCCTCTGGTTCTTTGTCTTCTTCTTCATTCCATTCTTGATGTTTGCCTCCTGGTTGCTTTCTTCTAGGTCCTCAAAGGTACCAGCCTCAGGTGAGTCAGTATTAATGAACATTTGCTCACTCCCACCAGCACTTCCTGCTGCCAGGAGCTCCTTATCTGCTGGTTTGGCAGGTGCTGCTCATTTCTTGACAGGGTGAGCACAGGGTCCCACTGACTTTGGGTTCATTGCTATGCTTTGTTCCTCTGCCACCTCCATCTCTGTCTGCATGCCAGCAAGTTGTTTCAGCCTCTCAACTGCAGCTCACTCTTGAGCTTTGTGGGCTTCCTTGAGGATTTTGTCATCATTCACTTTCTGGGCCTTAATATGCCATGGAACTCATGCTTGCAGGTCTGGCAAGCCTGGGTGTTTGTGCAAGTTCTGTGGGTGAGTGCAGCATCCCTTGGTGATGTTGGACATGATTGCTGACAAGTAGCAGATTTGACAAGAGCTGTGGCAAGCTTGAGAAAAAAAAAAGTATAGTAAAGGACATTGCATGGTTGAACTTGAACTTTGACTGCAAATTCATAAGTTCCTTACTTAAAAGGTTCACCTCATTCAATTGCTAGTCTAGTACTTTATGGTCTCCTTCACAACTGGGTCTACATATGTATACTGAATCACTCTTAATAAAGGTAAGTTTGTTGTCTTTCTTTTCATCTTTTGCTGTAGAATTCACTCTATGAGCCATTCTTCCAGTCACTTTGAAAGTACATCAATGAGAAGGTGGGCAGATTCCCAGAACTGAGACTAGTGCTCACTCTTACTAACCAAACTTTATTCTAGTCTAGTATTACTGCAATGCCCAACGGTACTCCACATACTCAACCACACTGATGGGACCATAGTGCACTTCAACTCCCATGTAGAAGTTGTTCAAGGTGGTTCAAGACTATCACTGGGCAAATGTAGGACAACCACCAACACCCTCTGAAACTGTTCATTGCACCAGAGCACCACTCACCAAGCCCACAACTTTCTCATGATAGTGAACATGCTGATGGCCACGGTGATGAAATGGACATTGATGAAGGACATGCTGACTACAATATGGATAAGCACTAACATCAACCATCCCCCAGCCAAATATTGATACAGAATTTATTGGGCCCTGGGATCACCTGTATTTAAATTACCATATGGGTCTCAACAGTAAGTTCATTTACATGATCCTGTCATTTGTGGCTGAATGCAATTACAGGCAGACCATGCAATGTAGATGGTATATTCCTCCCCCCTGGTGCTCTGCCCCCACCTCCTGAAAATGTAGCAACTAATGACTGGACACCCTTTCACAATTATACAGAATTTGAAACAGCAGAGTTCTTGTACACACAAAATCAGATGGCAGCAGGTCAAATTAACCAGCTACTCAATTTATGGGTGTCTACCCTTACAAAACACAACAACAAGCCACCATTCACGGATTATTGTGATCTCTACGAGGTGGTCGAGCAGGAGCATAGAAGCAGATGCAGGAACTGACTGGGTTGAGTGAAGATAGGTGGAGTGGAAGTGTGAGGAAAACAGGAAGGGTATAGGGTCAAGTAGAGCAGATATCAATATCATCGGAGCAGTCAGATCTGGTATATGATAGTACTTCTACCTCTGCATCCAATACTTTCTCTGACCTGGACTGATGGTCCTAGTTTTCCATGGACCTGTTCAACTAGTTCCTTCCTTATTTAGATAACCCCTTTGCTTCCAGCCATTCAGTTATGTATATTCCCATTGATTACTGATCTGTTATACTACTTCATTTCTGGCTCTATTCTTCTCATGTTCCACCTCACTTTACTAATCCTTCATTGTACTTACTAATATATGTTCTACATGCTTGTACATAGCCTCCTGGTCTTTGCTTACTTATCCCTCAGACTACCTACAGGCCTTGCTCATTACTTTCTATCAAGCCTTTGTTTATTACTTTTCATCAAGCCTTTGCTCTTTATTTTTGAACTTAGGTTAAAACCTTATTGACTGCTGCCTCAGGCCTAGGGATTGTTTCCCTAGGCCAAAGTTCCACCTCTCTGGTTTTGGTTTCCCTTTGGACCTAAGCCTAGAACTCTTGTTTCTCCACTCCTCCATTCATCTATTCATCTGATCGTCAAA